CAGTCTGCTTGTCCTTTCTAGTGGGAATGTCTCATCTCACAAGGTTGTGGATGGGACTCAGGATTCCACCTAAGGCCCTATACTCTGTAAAGGCTTTGTGCAAGGCCTATTTCAGTGGGCAATCTTGCCTTGTTTTATAGATAGAAGTTAATATGTCCATATCTCCGACATGATTGAAAGTTCTTTGACAAGAAGGGATATGGCATGTTTTTCTTACTTCAGTATTCTGGAAAGAATAGAAACATTTCTGACACAATTGCATTAAATAGATTAAATGTCAATGGTATAGTTACACAGTCAAGTTGTTTTCCCCCTTTTATATTCTTTTGTTATTTTGTAAACTGAATTATGTCAGTTATTCCCACCTAAATACTAAGACCATGTTATAAGAAATAAAAGTGTAATCTTCTGTGTGATGCAAACTAATAAAAATGACAGTGGAATACAGATTGTTAAAGCATAATTTTCTAATTCTGAAAATTGCCTTTCTTTTCAGAGAGACACATCTCAATCCAAAGGCAGCTTGCTGATCTAGAGAAGTTAGCTTTTGTAACTGAAGGGGATTTTGACTCTGCCAGTTCATTGAACTCAGATAATCTTGATACAGGTATTTCTATGTTTATTTGTTTTTACTACCTAATAGTTTGTCATTTTTCAGCTAAGGAAAACAATTTGCCTAGAATAGAATTTTATTCCTAGGAACTAGAACAGTAGAAAAAAAATATTTAGAAAGTTGATAACCTTCCATGTGCAAGGCACTGTGGAAATAAGACATTTCACAACTCCTTAGGGAAACTACAATCCCTTGAATCTTTAAAAACTGTGTGCTTTATAAGTTGTTGTTGGTTGTGGTAAGTGCCTTCAAGTTGATTCCAACTCATAGCAGTCCTCTGTTGGCATTCTGAGGAGCTGCTGGTGGATTTGAACTGTTGACCTTGTAGTTAGTACTTCAGTGATTATCCTACAGTACCACACTAGAACTTGCATTTAACTGTGACTTCTCAAAAAACTGTGGCTTAAGTAATATAGAGGCTTATTTTCTTTCACTTAAAAGACTTCCCAAGACAAGCAATTTAGGACAGGTATGAGAGTTTCACTCCTCAGAAACCCTATACAAGGTCACTGTGTGAACCAACTCATCAGCACTTAACAGCACAACAGTGAAAGTTCTATGATGAATTCAGTGCCCCAAGTCCATATCAGTTCCCCAAGTCCGTATTCAGTTCCCCAAGTTAGAAGTTATTCTAACTTCTTTAGTGCTTGGTTTTCATCCTCCCGATTGCCTTGTTGTTCCAAATAACTTGTAGAACTCCAGTCACAACTTCTCTCTTCTAAGGAGAAAGGAAGAAAAGGGGGAAAGGCTTAGACGCTGTCTTTAAAGAGCAGTTAGAGAAGCCTCCTCAGTGACTTCAGGGTAAATCCTTCGGCCAGAACTGTGTCACATGGTTTGTCTTTTGCTTCACGAGAGGTTGGGAAATGTCCTTTAGCTGGACACACTACCAATTATGAAGAAAATTTGTTTTCTTTTGGAAAAGATGAAGGAAGAAAAGAAATTGGGAAGAAACTTTTCTGCCACAAGGAAGTTACCAGTGTGTTGTTATATATATTTAATTTTATTTTTTAGTTTTACTTTCATAGATGAATTCTGAAGTTATTTTTGTAGTCTTGGTGTAGCACTGTAGGATAAGCACTGGACTGCTAACCACAAGGTCAGTGGTTTAAACCCACCAGCTAATTCTTGGAAACCCTATACAGGGTCGCTATGAGTCAGAATCATTTTGACAGCACTTAGCAACAGAAACAACAGTTATTTTTAGGAAGAATTGTTGTTGTTGTTGTTAAGTGCCATCGAGTCGGTTCCGACCCATAGTGACCCTGTACAGGGTTTCCGAGGGTATAAATCTTTACGGGAGTAGAAAGCCTCATCTTTCTCCCGCAGAGCGGAGAATACTAATCTATATACAGTAATTAAAGTATTCGTTCATTAGGATTTTTGTGTAAAGCATCTTAAGCTCTGCTTCCTACTACCCTTTTCAACTGTTTTACTGTACTCTGCCCTACTCCCAACAGTGTTTCAAAAATAAAGTTTTTCAAAAATTGATCCTGCCAATTTTTAATCATTTGTAAGGTCTCTTATGATCTTCTTCTTTACGCATATATTCTGTGATCTAGTACAATAATCACTTTGTAAATACTCTTAACTCCCTTGCCATTTTCCATCTTCTATCATACTTGCCAGGCAAATCCCCAACCTAATTAAAACCATGTTTCTATCTACTGCATACTTGCCTTAGAGCAGTGAAGCTTGATCAAGAAAAAAGCACACATAGAGCTCAAATAGATATTCATCACTACCTGGCAATACTGCTATATTTCCCTTGTAAAGTCCTTTTTCCACTCTTTAGAATAAATGTTTTATACTTCTCTCTTCTCCCCCAAATAAAGAAAATCTTAAAACCATTGATCCTCGGTTCCCCTCAGTGCAAACCCCCTTCCAAGACTAAGACTCAATGGGAATACACACTCTGATTGGTGACCACGCTTGTCACCGATAAGGGGAAGTGAGGGAAAAACAACAATGAAGTGGCGAGCTAAGCCCTACAATATGGAGAGTGAAGCATTCAGCTGATAAAAAGAGAGGGCATATGCACAAGAACACCCACACTTGCAGATAATACCCACTAGACCTGGCTTCAATGACTGGATGATCAGAGCTCAACCAGAAGAAGAAAGAAAAGGAAAAAAAGAGTAATCTGATGCAGTTTGATGAACTTGACCTACACCTATAGAAGCAGTAGGTCAAAAGAGGGAACAAATTCTTACAGCAAGAATCATTACCATCCCCTACAAACACAGAGTAGATAGGGATGGGCAACTTGGACATTGGCTACCCAAAATGGGGAGGGAAGGCCAAAAAAGCAAAAAAGGAACAACCCAAAAACCTTCAAAAGGAAACCAAAAAAAAGGGGGCCTGGAGGAAGGCAGAATCTCCAGTGAATAGCATCCAATCTGCCTAGGCGGAGTTGATGAAATGAAATGCAGATGGGTCTCTTGTGACACAATAGTGAATAATTTTTATCAGGACTGATTGTGAAGGTTGGAGATGTAAAGGTAGACATTTTATAGCAAGGAAGGAAGTGATTAACTTTTCAGTCTAGGAGCAGAGGTCCCTAGGACCATCAAGGGAGAAGAGCAGAGAGCAGGACCCTATCCAGAGAAACAGTGATGCCTAAGATGGAGGCAGAGACAATGATGTGGAGCAATGGAGCAGCTGGGGGCTTTAGATCCAGAGAGGGAGAGCAACTGTGTGCTGAAGACTGGGGGGGAGGGGCTAGTGTAGGGGGCAGGCTTGCAGGGTATACCTTTGGTTGGTTGATGATGCATGAAGGGGATTGTAACCATGGCAATGATACGATGTACGATAGAATGAATGTAAAACTAATGTTCTCCCATGTAAACTATCATATAATTCACAATAAAACACTTAAAAAAAAACCACTGATCCTGCCATTTTTTAATCATCTGTAGTGTCTCTCGTGTGCTTCCTTCTTCACGCACCTTAGAATTTCTGATCTAATACAATAATCACTTTGTAAATACAGACTCTCTTGCGCCTCCCCCTCTGTTAGACAAAATAGAAGCACTATACCAAAAACTCATTCATCTTTCCATCACAGAATACCATACTACCTCCATCTATACCTATAGTCTCTCCCTTACCCTTTATTTTAATAGATGCTATTGTTATGAAGTACCATCAAGTTAGTGACCCAGTATAGGGCTTCTGAGGCACAAAGCCTCATCTATCTCCCACAGATTGGTTGGTGGGCTCAAAACGCTGACCTTGTGGTTTCCAGTCCAGTGCTTATCCTATAGAGTCACCACTCTACCCAATAGGTAATATATCCCTACTTTTATCACATAAGCACTGGACTGCTATCCACAAGGTTGGTGGTTCAAACCCACCAGCTACTCCTTGGAAACCCAGTGGAGGGTCGCTATGAGTTGGAACCAACTCAGTGGCACTTAACTACCATTAATATCGATGGCTCTTCTAGAATTCTAGATCCCTTTTCTCACCTGTGCACTGTATGCTATTTTTCTCTTGATTGCATTCTTCTCATCAACATGCAGACATGCTTCAGTATTTGTTTCTAAAACAAAGGACATAAAAAATTCTTGATCCCATGCCCTTTTCCAATTGTTAATTGTGAGGTTTATATCCTTCCACTTTATGAGGTTAAAAAAAAAAAGCTTGATCTTGTGGTTTCCTTTCTCTGATTCTCTGTCTGTCCTACTGGAACTGTTTTTATAAAGGTTGCTAATTACCTTTTTTTTCTTGCCAAATTCAAAATTCATTTCTTCAGTTTCATTTCAGGGAGGATGTGTTGCGATAGTGGTTTACAACAGTGGTTCCCAAACTTTTGGTCTCAGGACACTTATGCTCTTAAAAATTATAGAGGACCCCAAAGAGGTTTTGTTTATGTGGGTTATGTCTATCAACATTTATAATTAATAGAAATTAAAATAACTTGAAAATTAAGAATTCATTCATCTTAATAAAACCATTACATTTTAGCATAAATAACATTTTTTGAAAATAGCTTTCCCAAACAAAATATCACCAAGTAAAGTGGCATTGCTGTACATTTTTATATATCTCTTAATATCTAACGTAGTAAAAGACAGCTGTATTTACGTATCTGCATCTCCATTTAGTGGTGGTCACATGTCAGGGGTCCTCTGTTAAAGAAGACTTTAACACTCACAAGATAATAGAATATAAGGGGCAAGTTTTACTGTACACTCATAAGAGAATGAAAGTGTAAGTCTTGTTATTACCATGGAAATTCTTTTGACCTCCAGACCCCCAGGGGTTCTCAAGCCACTGTTTGAAATGCACTGGTTTACATCATGAACCCTGGAGCCAGACTTGTTAGTTTCTGATCCTAGTTCTGCTACTACCTACCTATTCAAAGGGCTTCAAAAATATCTATTATCTTTGAATTCTATTTTTTTCTACAAGTTTTTTGAAGCCCGTTCGTATGACTTGTATAAGTTACTTAATCTCTCTTTGCTCAGTTTTATTTTGCCCCTTTAAAATAGGGACAGTACTACCTGCCTCAGGTAAGGGTGAAATGTGCTGATACATGTGAAGCACAAAGTGGAAAATACTAAAAAAGTTTTACTATCATTTAACCTTTCAGTAGTAGTCATTATAACTATTCTGCCTTTTTTCTCTCTCTTGCCTTCTGTGACACCACCCTCTCCTGATTTTCACCCTACCCTAGTCACCTTTCTCTATGTGCACCTTCTAATTGATGTGGAACTAGAACTCGAAGTCAGGTCTGTCTGACTCCATTTCTGTGCTTCTACCATGTTGCTTTCATTCATAGTAACAACTTTTTCCTATTTATGATTAGCTTCTGTCTGTTTTATTACTGAGTGTTCTAAATTGCAATGTATTTAACTTTAAGCCATTGTAATTTCCTTTTGAAGTAGGCAGAATTGTTGCTGTTGTTTTTAAGTGCCATCGAGTCAATTCTGACCCATAGCGACCCTGTATAGGGTTTCCAAGGAGCAGTTGGTGAACTTGAACTGCCGACCTTACAGTTCAAACAGTCTGGTGCATTAACCCACAGTGCCATACCAGGACTCCTAGGCAGAATATAAAATAATAACGATAATTTGTACTTATATTTGCATTGCAGTGGACTATGAACCACAAATTCTGCAGTTCAAACCCACCAGCTGCTCCTCAGAAACCCTATACAGCGTTGCTATGAGTCAGAACTGACTCGATGACACTTAACAACCACAATACTATTTGTATTGTGTTATGTTTAAAAGATGTTTGTTGGATTAAAAATTGTTAGGGAACTCATTATTTCTGCATTTTATTGCTTTAAAGTTGAACTTGTACACCATTCATCAAAATTTTAATTTGAGATACATTTCTTAGTATATAGGGCTCCTATTTGGTTAAACTGCACATAAATTAAAAATGCAGTAATTGGACACAGTGGGACTAACCTTGGCCCCCAGTGTCCATATAGCAATTGTATTGCTTCCCATCTTTTCTCTCTAGTTCCTTTTTTACATCTTTGTAATGCTACAGGATTTGGTGCCACCATAGTACTTAAAATACTATAAACCCTACAGTAGAAACTTAGGCTATGTGTTCTGCTCCTGCCTCTTGGAGTATGATAATTGCTGCCCTTTCCCCTGTCCAGAGTACAGAGAGTGTACTGTCTGGCAGGCAGTTTGTCCAGTGACAAGAATATCAGTTATCAGCAGAAAGACTGTTCAGATAAAAAAGAAAAATTAATAATCATGTGGTAAAATTATTGTTAATTACTGGGTGCAGGGTCGCTATGGGTCAGAACTGACTCAATGGCCCTTAACAACAACAATAACATATGATAAGCTATATAGTGCTGCTAAGCAAGATCAGCAGTTCAAATCCATCAGCCACTCCTTGGAAACCCTATACAGGGTTGCTGTGAGTTGGAATCAAGCCTGTAGCACTTAGTAACAACAACCTCCTAGATCAGAGATAAAGACTTCTCCTGAAACTTAAGAAAGACTAAGAATGGAAAGGGGGTGGTTCACCTGTTACTTCTTATAGCTGATTCCTGCCATTCATAGATAGTATATTCTGTGCTTCATTGCTTCTTTATTCTTTTTCAGGAAGCAAACAGGCTTGTCCATTGTGCCCTAAGGAAAAATTAAGAGCTTGTAATAGCCATAAACTTCGTCGCCATCTTCAAAATTTACACTGGAAAGTCTCTGTTGAATTTGAAGGTTAGTATTTTTCTGATTATTAAAAAGTGATTCCATTTAATTCAGTATTTGGTTCGAGGTATTTTTGCACAATCAAATATTTTCCGTTTTAAAATTATGTTGTTAAGTGCTGTTGAATCAGTTCCGACGTACAGCAACCTTGTGTAGGGTTTCCAAGAAGTAGCTGGTGGGTTTGAGACACCAACCTTGCAGTTACCAGTCCTATCGTACACCAGGACTCCAGTTTAAAATTTTAATTAAATACAATATAAAAGGGGCATACTACCCCTTTTATATTGTGTATTTAATAAAAAAGCACATGCCTCTTGAGACAATAGAAAACATAACGTTAGTTCAGCCAACATATACGAGGAGATTCAAAAAGTTTATGAATGAATTCCATTATCTTAAAATTTCATTTTCAGTGAACTTCTTCAATCCACTTTGTATTAAGCATCTACTCTCTGCTGGGTACTCTGCTCACCTTTGGGGGTCCAAGTTGCTTAGTGAGTAATAGATTAATTAGTTATACTTTTCTTTTGTAGAACCATTGCCATGTAATACATATTTTGAAGGTATATTAAACATAGCAAAACAAGAAAATTTGAAAAATTGATACAACTTTTGGAAAAGAGAAGACAATTCTTTTTTCACATGATGGTATCAAAAAGTAATATATTTAGTAAGAAAGCAAGATATAAGATAAATATTCAGAAATCATAGCGCTAGTTCTAGAGACATGGTAATTACAAGCAAATATACCATTTATAATAATGCCACAAGTTGGAGGACCAAATTAACAAAATGATCCATATAAGGAGAAAAAACAAGTTAAAGGACAAAAAATTCTGAAATCTTATGAAGTTAAAAGACTTAATAGAATTCTAGATAATAAAAACAATGTTTTCAAAATGTCATTTAATGATCAGAACTTATCTAGAGAAAGATAAAAACAATTTTTGATTAAGGAAACAATTGTAAATTGCTGAAGTTTGATGAATTTGACCTATACTTATGGATGTAGTAGCTCAAAATACCAATTGAGAGGGAAGAAGTCTTCACATCAAGTATCAATCTTATCCCCTCTGTATACAGGGTTGATAGGGACAAGTAACTTAGACATTGGCTACCTAAAGTGGGGCGGGGGTTGGGGGGAGCTATAAAGGCATGAAGTAAGTAACTGGCTTACAAGTTTTCAAGAGGGAGTTTAGTTTCAGAGTATGCAGGAAAAGGTAGAATCCCCACTGAATGTTTTTTCATCTAGTCTAGCTAGGTCTGGTGAAAGGAGGTGGGGAAAAGATTCTTATGATTCAATCGTGAATAATTGTCATCATGACTAATTGCAACTATCACAACTATAAAAGTATAAGTTTTGTAACAAAAAGCCAGGGGTAGTTAATCTTACAGTCCAGAAACAAAGGACCCTAGGGCCGTCAAGGGAGAAGAACATGAGTGGAATGTAGGACCCTATCCAGAGAAGCAGTGACATCAGAGATGGAGGCAGAGAGGAGGACATGAAGAGATAGAGCAGCTGAGGACTCTAGACTCATGGAAAGAGAAAGGTTATGTGTTGGTGGCCAGTAGGCAGGCTTGCAGAATGTGTCCTTGAGTGTTTAAATGATTATATATATTCCTAAGTGTTGTTGAAGTTCTGTTCTAAATAGAACCACAGTTACATTGCATCCCATCTTCTGTGACCAGTTTTCTTCTTCCAGAGCAGTCAGGAATCATGGTTTTTGTTGTTAGGCGCCGTTAAGTCAGTCCCAACTCATAGTGACCTTATGCACGACAAAACGAAGCACTGACCTGTCCTGTGCCAACTTTACAGTGGTTGTTAGACTTGAGCCCATTGCTGATGCCACTGTGCCATCCCGTTGGGGGTCTTCCTTTTTCACTGACCCTCCACTTTATGAAGCATAATGTCATTCTACAGGAAATGGTCCCTCATAATGTGTCCAAAATATGAGCGACAAAGTCTGACTTTCCTGACTTCTAAGGAGCATTCTGATTGTAGTTCTTTCGACACAGATTTGTTTGTTCTTCTAGCAGTCCATGGTACTTTTAATATTCTTCTCCAACACCATAACTCATCGATTTTTTACGGTCTTTATTAATCATTGTCCAACTTTAACAAGCATATGAGTCTATTGAAAATTCCACGGCTTTGGTCAGGCACACTGATATCTTTGCTCTAGAACACTTTAAAGATGTCTTGTGCAGCATGTTTGTCTAATACAATACATCATTTGATTTCTTGACTGTTAGTTCTATGAGTGTTGACAGTGAATCCAAGCAAAATGAAGTCTTTGACAACTTCACTATTTTCTCTGTTCATCGTGATGTTGTTTATTGGTACAACCCATACCGAAGGCTGTGGTCTTTAATTTTCATCAGTAAGTATTTTAAGTCCTCTTTGCTTTCTTTCAGCAAACAAAGTTGTATCATCTGCATATTGTAGGTTGTTAATCAGTCTTCCTCCAATCCTTATACCACATTTTACTTTAAATAATCCAGCTTCTCAGCATACAGATTGAATAAGTATGGTGGAAGAATACATCCCTGGTGCATACCTTTCCTGATTTTAAAGCATTCAGTGTCCCCTTGTTCTCTTGTAAAGACTGCTTCTGATCTATGTAAACTTCTTTCTGGTATTCTCTGCTTTCCACCTAGATATCAGCAATGATATCCCTATACCACATCCTCATCTGAATCTGGCTCGATCCTCTGTCAGTTCCCTCTCAATGTACTGTTGCAGCGGTTTTAATTATCTCTAGCAAAATTTTATTTGCCTTGATATTAATTATATTGTCCAATGGCCTCCACATTTTGTTGCATCATCTCTCTTTAGAATGGGCAGAGATATCCATCTCTTCCAATCAGTTAGCCAGGGTGCTGTCTTCCCAATTTCTTGGCATAGAAGAGTGAGTGCCTCCAGGGCTGCATCAGTTTGTTGAAGCACTTCCATGTGTATTTTATCAATTCCCAGAGCTTTGTTCTTTTACAATGCCTTTAGTGCACCATGAAATTCTATTTTCAGCACCGTTTGCTCTTGATCATATTGCTTCCTCTTGAAATGGTTGAACATCGACCAATTCTTTTTGGTACAGTGACTCTGTATCTGGTCCACTTTATATGATACTTTCTGCATCATTCAATATTTTGCCTATGGAATCCTTCAATATTGCTAGTCAAGGCTTGAATTTTTTCTTCAGTTCTTTCAGCTTTAGAAATGCTAACTAAGCTTGTTCTTCCCTTTTGGTTTTCTAATCCCCGGTCTTTGCACATTTCATTATAACATTTAACTAAGTCTTCTCGAGTTGGCCTTTGAAATTTTCTATTTAACTCATTTATCTCCCATTTCTTCCATTTGCTTTAGTATTTTTACTCTGGAGAGCAAGTTTCAGAGTCTCTTCTGACATCAATTTTGGTCTTTTCCTTCTTTTTTATTTCTCAATGACCTTTTGCTTTCTTGTATAGTGTTCTTGATGTCGTCCCACAAGTCTTCTGGTATTCGGACATTGGTGTCTAATTCATCATTTCTTCCAGTTGCTTTAGCTTCTCTACTCTCAGAAGCAAGTTCAGAGTCTCTTCTGGATATCTACTGTGGCTTTTTCTTTTTTTTCCTGCCTTTTTTATGACTTTTTGTTTGCTTTATTTATGTTGTTTGTTCTTACTGTCATGCAACAAAATCTTGTGGTCTTCATGCATAATGCATTAAATGTGTTCTTGAGATGGTTTCTAAATTCAGGTGAAACATACTTAACATCATATTTTGGCTCTCGTGGACTTGTTTTAATTTTCTTCAATTTCATCATGAACTTACATATGAACAATGGATGGTTCTGTGCCAAAGTCAACCACTGGCTTTGTTTTGGCTGATAATATTGAGATTCAACATTGCTCTTCCTGTTTATCATATCTGGTGAGGTCCATGTGTGTAGTTTCCATTTCTGATTTTGAGAAAAATATACTTTCAGTGAATAAGTCACTGGTCTTGCAAAATTATATAATGCCATATCCAGCATTATTGCTATCACCAAGGCCATAGTTTCCAACTACTGTTCCTTCTTTGTTTCTAACTTTCACATCCAATCACCAATAATTATCAATGCATCTTGATTGCATGTTTGATTAATTTCAGACTGGAGAATGGATCCTTCAACTTCATAATCACTGTCTTTAGTGGTTTCTGTGGTAATTTGAATAATCATGATATTAACTGGTCTTCCCTGTTGTTGTTGTTGTTAAGTGCCATTGAGTTGGTTCCATCTCATAGCGACCCTATATAGAGTGTCCGAGGAGCAACAGGTGAGCTTGAACCACTGACCTTACAGTTCAAATGGCTTTGCAGTCTGGCTCATTAACTCACAGTGTCACACCAGGACTCGGTCTGTAGGTGTATGGATATTATCTTATCACAGACAGCATTGTACTTCAAGATGGATCTTGAGATGTTCTATTTGATGATGGATGCAATGCCATTCCATTCAATTTGTCACTTCCAGCATAGTAAAGTGTATAATTAGCAGATTCAGAATGGCTAGTGCCATTCCATTTCAGCTCACTAACCTGGGATGTCATTTTTTATGAGTTTCATTTCATTTATACAACTTCCAGTTTTCTTAAATTCATACTTCATACATTCCATGTTCTACTTATTAATGGATGTTTACTGCTGTTTCTTTTCATTTTGAGTTGTGCCACATCAGCAAATGAATATCATGAAGGCTTAACTACTCCATCCAGTTCATTAAAATCAAATCTACTTTGAGGAGGCAGTTCTTTCCCGGTCATATTTTGAGTTCCTTCTAACCTGTGGTGCTCATCTTCTAGCCTATATCTGACATTATTCTGCTGCTATTCATAATGTAACATCTTCCATCAGTATATCTGATCATGATAAGCTGCTTTTCAGGTCTTTAAGGTTTATTTATTTAAGGATTTCTCTCCTTTCAAGTCTGAGTCTGGAAGGTCTGCTGAATCCTGTTTGCCATGTGTGGCTGTGCTGGATTTTAAAATGCTGGTGACATAGCTTCCAGCAACACACAAGCCACTACAGAATGACAAACTGACAGACGAGTGGTGGAGCAGCTGGTGGGTTTAAACTTCTGACCTTGGGATTAGCAATTCAGTGTTTATCCTCAGTGCCACCAGTGTTCTGTATATAAGCATTTGTTGTTGTTGTTAAGTGCTGTCAAGTCAGTTCCAACTTATAGCGACCCTGTAGAGCATTTCCAAGGAGTAGTTGCTGGGTTTGAAGTGCCAACCTTGCATTAGCAATCCAGTGCTTATCCTACAGTGCCACAAGTTATCAAATATGGTTACCCTAAGTTTCAACCAAACGGGATGAAACAAGACACTATGAGACCCAGAAAAGAAGCCTGAACTACACCATAGCTATCTTGTTAACAGTAATGTTAAGATAGTAACTAGACCCTTAAACCAAACCAAACCAAAACCACTTGCATTGAGTCCATTTTGACTCATAGTGAGTCTATAGGACAGAGTACAACTGCCCTATAGGGTTTTCTGCGACTCTAAATCTTTGCATAAATTCCTTCAAGGTGTGACTCATCTTTCTTCTGAGGAACGGTTGGTAGATTCAAACCACCAACCTTTTAGTGAGCAGCTTAACCCACTACACTATCAGTGTTCCCCTAACTAGACCCTTGTTGTTAAGTGCTGTCAAGTTAGTTTTGACTTATAGCAACCCTATACAGGGTTTCTCAGGAACAGCTGGTGGGTTTGAACTACTGACCTGTGATTAACAGTCCAATGTTTGTTGTTTGTTCTATAGCGCCACACCAGGACCCTTAGGGAAAGGGAATTAGAGACGAACTCTGATGCCTCCTAACTTTTTTGTTGAAACGTGCATAGGGATATATAGAAATCCATATTGACTTTTTGTTTAAAAAAAATCTAAGGAAGCTGTCATTATTTTAAAAGTTCTCTTATGTGTTTTATTTAGGCCATTGTTTAACCATTATTATTCTAGTCCTCCAAGTTATTCTTGCCTTTTAAAGTGCTTGTGATGTTTCCCTTAGGTGTAGGTTCTTACATATACCAGGTTTTTGGGATCTTTCACATGATAGTAATCAGATAGGCAATGAAGCTATGATAGTTTATGTCTTATTGAACAGGCCTAAAAGTAGTTGGTGAATGTGTTGAGGATAGAACCAGTAAGTTCTCGTTGATTGGATATAAGAATTGAGAAAGTGAATAATGCTGGGGTTTGGGATATGGGGACTAGAAAAGTGGAGATGTACTTCACTGAGCTGTAGAAGACTGCATGAGGACCAGATGTGGGGAAGAAGACCAGGACCTCAAATTTAAACTTGTAAAGATTGAGATGCAGTTGGGCTCTAGCAGATACAAGTGTAGAGTTTTAGGAGAAGGATTGGACTGGAGAGATAATATTTGGCAGTTGTCAGAATATTGAAAGCCATGAGACTGAATGGGTGTGTATGTAGATGGAAAAAAAATTCCTTCAAGGTGTGAGTCCTGAGGCAATTCAACATTTAAAACATTTAAGAGAAATAATTGGATGTAAGGTGTGGATAAAGTATGGGAAGAAAGGAATTAAGGATAATTTAGAGGCTTTGAGTTAGAAGTGACTATAAGACTTTTTTAAATAAAACAAAGTATAAGAGACTTGGGTCAAGAAGAATGATAAATATAGTCTTTGAAAAATGGATGGTTTTGAAATTCATACCAAATTCATAGATCCTTAATAGATATGTATATATGTTTCTGCCATTGAGTTGAGTCCGATTCATAGCAACCTAGTGGAATAAAATCTTGCCCGGTTCTGCATCTTCACAATTACCAGCACGTTTGAGTCTGTTATAATAGCTATTGTGTCAGTCCATTTCTCCGAGGGTCTCTTTTGCCCTTACTGGCCTCTGCTTCTCCAAATGTGATATCTTCATGATAACGTAGCCAAATCAAGTGAGCTGAACAATATCCTATTGTCATCCATAATGCTTTCATTGGCAAATTGGCTCAAGTAAATTGCCATCCCTTTCTTTCTAGCCTCTTTTCGTCTGGAATCTCCCCAGAAACCTGTTCATTATAGGTGATCCTAGTATTTGAGATTCTGGTGTCACAACTTCCAAGACTACATGAGCCATCACAGTACTACTGTGGGTGATGGCAATGGGAAACAGGGATCTGACTCTGTGGAGCAAATTTGAACTAGAGATATAACTTGGGATTCCTTTCCACAGTGGAGATGGTTGTTGTTGTTATGTGCCATGGAGTCGATTCCGACTCATAGCGACCCTGTACAGGGTTTCCAAGGCTGTAAATCTTTACAGAAGCAGAAAGCCTCCTCTTTCTCCCACGGAATAGCTGGTAGTTTCAAACTGGTGACCATAAGATAGCAGCCCAATTCGTAACTACTACGCTACCAGAGTTCTGTGTGGAGATGGTAGCAATCAGGAAAGGAATTAAAATTACCAAGAAAGTGAGAATAAACGTCGCATAGTTACCTAGTTTAAAGAATATAAACATTTTAGGGTATAAGATAAATAATGCACAGACAAAATATTGTTAAGGCTTTAGTTTTTTTTACCTGAATCCACAATCAATGTCCATGGAAGCAGCAGTCAAGATAATCAAACATTTTGATTTGGGAAAATCTGCAAAAGACCTCTTTAAAGTGTTAAGAAGCAAGGTGTGACTTTGAAGACTAAGGTACACCTGACCAAAGCCATGATCATTTTCAGTTGCTTCTTATGCATGCAAAAGTGGGACTATGAATAGGGAAGAATGAAGGATTGATGCCTTTGACTTATGACAAAGATTATTTCATACACCATGAACTACCAGAAGAATGAACAAATCTGTCTTATAAGTACAACTGGAATACTCCTTAGAAGTGAGGATGGTGAGACTTTATCTCACATACTTTGGGCATGTTTTCAGAGGGACTAGTCCTAGGGAAGGACGTCATGTTTGGAAAAGTAAAGAATCAGTAATACCCTCAATAAGATATATTTACACTGTGCCTGTAACATGGGCTCAAATATGGCAACAATTGTGAAGATGGCACAGATCCAGGCATTGTTTCATTCTGTTGTCCATAGGGTCACTATGGCTTGGAACTGACTCTCGCACTTAACAATAACAACAACAAGGATACAAGATTGGAATGAGGATCTGTAAAGAACATTAAAAGGATAAGAAAACAACCAGAATAATGTACCATGTCGTAAACAAAAAAGCTGTATACTGGTAAAACTCCAGTGTAAGGCAAAGAAGCTCAAGATTACAAAAAAGGTCATAGTGCCAGAAACAGTTGATTAAACCAAGACCAAGAGAATGCTAGCAGAAGCAGGATTTGAATTGGATCTCTTGTTTTGTTGTTGTTTTTTCATTTTTTGTGTATGTGTGAAATGTATCTGTTTTTTATATTATTTCATATGTAGTAAGTTATACATTAAGGCAACCACATTCAGGTATATAAATGGCATTACAAATACAAAAATAATCTTGTTCTTACCAAGTAAAATTTCGTAATACTTTTTATGCAAATTAGGTTATGCTTAATAATGTTTAATGATAATTAAATACTTAACGAACAATGATAAGACAACTAGCTAATTATTATTTATTCTAGGTTATAGGATGTGCATCTGTCACTTACCTTGTCGACCAGTAAAACCAAACATTATTGGAGAACAGGTAATTAAAAATTAGATTTTTATTCTAAAATTTAACCCTCTTTAACAGAAGTTCAACTTTTACTTGCTTTAATATTGGCATTTTGGTTTACTTTAAGGTTGATATTTTATGCACTGATTCACACTCCTTCTCCTCAGGCTCTTTTTAAGTTTGGTTTTACAAAGGACAGAATCAAAAAACTGAATTCTTAACAACTTAAAAGTACATATGTTTGTTTTAAAGATAGATTTGATGTGTAGGACAAACAAAGTATAAAGTGTTTTTTAGTGACATTATTCTGAATATATACTAGTTAATGAGTTCTCGTTATTCAGTTTTCTTTAGGCTAACTCAAAACAGGAAGCTGTTAGGCTAAAAAGCAATAATCCTATACAGTATTTTGGACAGTCCTTGGCCTGTCAACCCTGTTCAAGGTCTTTTGAATGCGATAGCTGCTGTACCAGGTGGAAACCTGGGTAGCTTTCTTGACTATTTACTTGCTATCAGGTACCAAAGAAGGTTGACATATCAAGAGTAAAAGACACCAAAACTGATAAAGTTCTTTTGGACCCATCATAGAGCCGTTGGTGTAATGTTTTTGCTTCAAATTATGAAGAAATTAGGAAATGAGAATTTTTTACTTGGAAGAATATAATTTCTGTTACATGCTTAACTTCTAGAGGTTTGATAGAAGTGACTCAGATTTTCAGAAATCTTGTGAGTGTGTTGTTAAACATTAAAATTTGATGTCTGTCATTAAAAATTAAATTATATAAACTTAACAGTTAAATAAATTATATTAAAAACAAAAGTAATACATATTAAAATTTACCTCTCCCTAATCATTTTCCTGCATTTTTCAGTTAATCTATGCTTTGTTGGTTGGTGGAAATGCTCTAGATTGGTACAGTATTGTACATCTCCTCCTAAAGGATATTACATTGATCATTTGAAATCTATCACAGTTTTTGAAATCAGTTTAAAATAGTTGGAAATCAGTCATAGTGGAAGTTTTTTTGTTTGGTTTTTACTTTTTATGAATTGGGTGAAGATTTACAGAGCAGATCTTTAGTTTTAGATTCAAGAAATCATGCATTCTTCATTTCAGTTCATTGATTAAAATCGCCTCAATATAATATCACTTATCCTACTTCCTCCCTGTTTTTCTTGTCTTCATTCCCCCTTGTTTCTCAACCCTTAGTGGACTTTGTTATTAATGTTGTGCCATTGAGTTGGTTCTGATTCTTAGCAACCCCATATAGGGTTTCCGAGGAGCAGTTGGTAGGTTTGAACTGCCAACCTTGCAGTTCAAACTGACCTTGTGGTCTAGTGCATTATCCAGGACTCCTTCTGAACTTTGCCCTTGGGTAAATGCTGCCCTTGAGATCTCAAATACTTGACCATTCTATGGTATGTAGATAAACAACTAGTGTTGTTCCCCTTAGGCCTTTCTATTACTTGACTGAAAATTGAGCTCCGGGGGTGAGTTTGGTTTCAGACCTGAGAGGTAGGGTCATCAAGGGCCATACTCTTAAAGTTCCGCCAGCCTCTATCCAATCAGTAAGCCTTTTTTTCTTTTTTTCTTTTTTTTAATGATTTTAGAATATTGTTCAATATTTTTTTCCACTCTGTCCAGCACCTTCTAACATGTTCCCTTTCAGTGCAGTTGGTAGTGGTAGCCAAGTACTATCTAGGTCTTTTGATTTCAAGGTTGTAGGTACTGATGTTCCCGTGGTCCATTAGTCCATTGGACTACATGTTTCTATGTAGCATCAATTTTCGTCACTCTTTTTTCTCCAGACAAGGAAAGACCAATAATTTTAGGTGGCTGTCTATGAGCTTTTTAAGATTCCAGTCACTAGTCATCAAAGTAGAATATAGAACATTTGTCTTTGTGGACAGTTGACCGTGGTTTCACCTGAGACTGTGGTCCTGAGCCTCCAGACCTTGTGACTACTTCTCGTAATGCCAGCATTTGTTGTTTTTTGGGGTTTAGTGGGGAGGGGAGTTGTTCTTTAAATGTTCCTATTAATACTGGGGTGAAATGATATTTCATTGTTTTGATTGCATGTTTAATGGCTAATGATTACAATCATTTCATTATGCTTATTGGCCGTCTAAATGTCTTCTTCAGTGAAGTGTCCATGTCTTCTGCCCATTTTCTAATTGAATTATTTGTCTTTTTCTTGTTAAGGTATTGAAGTTTTCTATACATTTCGGAAACCCTGTACAGGGTCGCTATGGGTCGGACCCGACTCGATGGCACTTAACAACAACAACAACAATACATTTTTTTGAGTCTCATATGTCTTGTAAAAAAACTTTTCCTAGTCTGTAGATTCTCTTTTTACTCTTTTGGTGAAATCTTCTTAAGGCATATAATTGTCTATTTTTAGGAGATCTCATTCATCTAGTTTGTCATCTCTGTTTGTATGTTTGTATTTATGTGTGTTAGTGTATTTATGCCATGTATGAGAATCTCTAAGTTTGCCCCTATTTCTCACAGTTCAAGGTTTTACATTTAGATTTTTTTATCCATCTTGATTTTGTTTTTGTAAATGGGTGAGATACAGGTCCTGTTTCATATTTCTGCAAATGGATATCCTGCTTTGCCATCACCATTTGTTAGAGACAAACTCTTTTGATGTTATTTGCATGAAGTCAGGCCCGACTCATAGTGACCCTGTAGAGGGTTTCCGAGGCTGTAAATACTTAAGGAGCAGAAAGCCTCATCTTTCTCCCAATGGAACCTCTGGTAGTTTTGAATTGCTAACTGTGAGATTGGCAGCGCAACTTGTAACCACTACGCTACCAGGGCTCTTTGTCTTATGATAGAAGTATTTGTACAACAGAAGTCTACAAATGCTACAAGCCAGGACTTTATTTTTCCTAGAAAGTCTGTTGATAAGCATTTACCAATATACTGCTACTAACATTGTACCATTTGTAATCACAGCTTATAGAAAACAGTGTACAGTTATTTGCTAATTAGAAATAAATGAGAAAAACTAGGAAGCTAAACTTGTAATCTATTTTAGAATACAACTTAAAAACATTAAACATAGTTAAGGAAGTAAAGATCTTTTCAAAATGACATGGCAAGATTTAATACTTCTATATCATAAAACCCAACACATCCTAACATACTTAAATTTGAAAACATAAATAAAATTCCATTCCTGTCATAGTAAGTAATTTATTTAAATTAAATACTCTATTTGATAGATATCCAGTAAAATGGGCGCCCATTATCATTGTATAATTTGTTCAGCAACAATCACCAGAAGGACCGATATGCTAGGACATATTAGGCGCCATGTGAATAAAGGAGAGACTAAATCCAGGTATTTTGTTGGTAAGTTGAGCACTCTTACTAGTATGTTAATATGGAAATTCTTAAAAAGTTTTTATTTTCACACATTAGGCAAATACAGTAATTTGACCAAATCATTTCATTGACTATTCTATTGTTTGAGTTTGAGGTTTTCTTTTCTTTCTATGAGACTAGCAACTACATTAACATTCACTTGTTGCCAACAAATATGCTTAATAAGTAGAATAGAAAAAGTCAGCAACATGTAGGTAGCTTAATGAAAGATTATATGATTATCTTCATTTCTAATGATAGCTCCTATACTGATTTGTGTTACACTTGCTGTTGGAAAACACTGGAAAAAGAAGGTAGAGTGAAATAAAGGCCAGTTATTATTCTGAGTGATTTCATATCATTAATGAGTGATTTCATTAATTTATACCGTTTTTTACTTATCATTAGACAGCCTTTCTCAAGAATTAAACCCTGATTCCCTAAGATAGTGATTTTGTGTGATGAATTCACATATCTCCTAGGTACCTAGATGTTACTGCCTACCATTCTTTAAAGAATTTAAAAAATAGCCACTGGATAATTTTCTGTAGAGTTTAATTTTCACACAAAACCTGGTGTGAGAAAGGTTGACCTTGGGAGACATGTGACATGCCTCTTTGGTGGGTATAGAAAGACATACAGCACAATGCTGAAAAAGGTAACTGGCATTGTAGAAAGAGAAATATGGTTATATTTGTAATTATGGTTAACTTTTTATTATAATATTATCAGTAAGTCTAAACATAAAGGATTTTAATTATTTCTCTTTATGTCTTAATTTCTTAAATATTTAGAACACATTACACGCACATTAGTTTTTTCATTTGTCTGCATAAGCTAAATGATTTCAATGTATATTACATGCAGAATCATTTTTTTCACCTGTTGGCTTGCTTTTTGAATGTAAATAATGATTTAAAAACAAAACTATGAGTTAGTATTCTAAATATTCAGGAAATAAAGTTATTTTTAGCTAGCCATGCTGACTAATGAAATATAACTATGAAGAGATGCTAATTTTCTAGTGACTATATATATCATAATAAGATATATTTAGCCATCAGTCTTCAATATGTTTTATTATGAGTCATAAGATCTTTCATGATTTTATTCTCTCAGAATAAATTATAATTCAATATTATAATGCAGATATAGTGATATGCTAAACAGTCAAGAGTTTACATTAATATATTTTCATTCATCAAATACTTAACTTAGTGAACTCTTTTCTGTACACAATAAAAATCAATGGACTTTTGTTTTACTATCCAAGGGGTTGTATTCACACAGCATACTATCAAAGTAATTTTTCAAAATGTATATTGCTCTCCATGTTTTGATCTTTGTATGTCCTTAGAAATCTTTTTTTCTCTCATTTTAGCTTCTGCTGTTAAACCACCTAATGAAATTTTGAAAGAGGCAGACACAGATGTACAAGTTTGTCCTAACTATTCTATTCCTCAGAAAACAGATTCTTACTTTAATCCCAAAATGAAACTAAATCGGTAAGATAATTGAAATAGGGTAATGGCTTTTTCAGTTCACTACAAATGTTGTTGTTGTTGGTAAGTGCCATTGAGTCGGTTTCGAACCATAGTGACCCTGTACAGGGTTTCCGAGGCTGTAAATCTTTACAGGAGCAGAAAGCTTCATCCTTCTCTTAAAATTCATGTTTAAAAACTAGAAACAGAATGGAAGTAATTTATTTTAGCATTACCTTAGAATAATTGTTTCCTTCCTTTCCTTTTTTTTTTTTAAGCAAAATTTCTTTTCTTTCAAAGTGAGTAAAATGGTCTTAACATTATATAATAAATGAGCAGATTGATTTTTGTGTATGTGTGGGCAGATTTTATTTCTAAAATCATTATTTATTATGAATGACCGTTGATGTTTGATGTTGTTGTTAAGGGTCACTATGTTGTTTCCGACTCATAGTGACTCAGTAGAGTTTCCAAGGAGCAGCTGGTGGGTTTGAACTGCTAAACTTGTGATTTGTAGTCCAGTGCTAATCCACAGAACCCAGTTAATTTGATAATGTTGTAAATTTTTAATACTTATACTACTAAGTTAGAAATATATTGTTAGATACCTTAATAAAATAGTTTTTAATAGTGAAACTATGATGTAGTAAAATTATTTCAAATTATTACACTTTAGACAGCTTATATTTTGTACATTGGCTGCTTTGGCCGGAGAACGAAAACCTTTGGAATGTCTAGATGCCTTTGGAGCCACTGGTAAGTACTGAAGCTTTTTTAGAACCTCATTTTATTTATCACATTTTTATAGTATGCTTTCTTACAGAATTTATATAGATATCATATCTAGCAGAGTGTTTTGATTTTTAAAAAATGTTAAACATTTTAAAAGATGAAAATTTTAGAGAATATGATGAATTAATATCTAAGTACCCATCACTGTTCTTTCGAGAATTCATGCTCAATTTTGGTTTATCTCTGCCTGACTTAATTATACAGTGCTACTGTATTACCTTTAGTAAAACTTATTCGCATGGGATATCAAAGAGATTGTCCGATGATTTCCGCATTCCATTGGGTCACCTTTCTTTGGAATGGGCACAAATATGGGTCCTCCCTGTGGTTTCTATTTCTATTCCACCCTCCTTCCCATCCCTTTTCAACTTTGTCCGTAGGTAAATGTTGCTCTTTTGATCTTGAATGATTGGTCAGTCATTCCACGGTGAGCATAGCTTATTAATGTTGTTGTCCACCCCCTTATACCTTTCTCCTGCTTGTCTGAAATTTGGGCCAAGAGAAGGGTGAGTTCTGTTCCAGACCTGAAGAGTGGTCAAGGGTCATAGTCTCAGATGGCTCCAGTCTCTTTTTGACCAGTAAGCCTGGTTTTTTAAAACATAATTTTGAACTTCGTTCCAAATCTTCTACTACTCCATCTGAGACCTTCTAATGTAATCCCTTTCAGAGTAGTTGGTGGTAGTAGCCAGGCAGGTACCATCTAGTTCTTCTGGTCTCAGAGTCATGGAGACTGATGGTCACATGTTTTATTAGTCCACTGGACTAACTGATTTCTAATATATGTAGTTTTCATAACTCTTCTTTCTTCCACACATGGAGAGACCAATAGCTGATGCTTATATGGCCTCTAACAAGCTTTTAAGATCCCAAATGCTATTCACCAAAGTAGTCATATATAGATCTTGTACATATTTTTAGATTTACATTTATGTATTTCATTTTTTCTGTCAATATAAGTGGTGTTATGTGTTAAATTTAAAATTACAAAATTTATTTTGATCCTGTGAAGTTTTGTATAGAGTAATACTTATATATGAAAATACTAAGATTTTGAAGCAGTTTGGTTTTCTTATTTATAAAATTAAAATTATATTTTATTATCATTTTTTACTGTTTAATTATTACAGTTTAAGAATCATTTTCTTTTCCATTTCTCCTAAGGAATAATGGGATTACAATGGGCAAAGCATCTTGGAAGTGCAGTAAAAGTTACAATTAATGACTTGAATGAAAACTCTGTGACATTGATTCAGGAAAACTGCCATTTAAATAAATTGAAAGTAGTGTTGGACAGTCAGGAAAAGGAAGAGAGTGATGATGTTCTTGAAGAAGGGGAGGAAAATCTTGGTAATATTAAGGTGACCAAAATGGATGCCAATGTACTGATGCATTTGAGATCTTTTGATTTCATGTAAGTGATAAAGATTTGCTTTGTCACTTTCTAAACTGGTCTACTTCATTTGTAATTTAAGATAGGTTGTTACTGTTTTTGTTGTCTATTCATTTAATACAGTTTTTGTTGCAATGAGAACATTTCCTAGCATTTGAAATTAATTTCTTGAACATGATACTTTTTCTCTAGCCCTGATTTATTTTTGCATGTGTGTCATACACATGATCAATTTATTACTTACTTTAAAGACAGAATTCTTTTTCTAAAATAGGTTCTTAAAAATAATTTTGAATCCATGGAATTTTATCATTAGCAATAATTACAGTTATATAATATTTACTATTAACTTGTGTATTCTTTGTGATTCCAGACACCTAGACCCTTTTGGAACATCAGTGAATTATCTAGATTCTGCTTTCAGAAATATAAGAAATCTTGGCATAGTGTCAGTGACTTCTACAGATATCAGTTCTTTATATGCTAAGGCACAGCATGTTGCTCGACGTCACTATGGCTGTAACATTGTCCGAACTGAATATTACAAGGAACTAGCAGCCAGAATTGTGGTAGCTGCAGTAGCAAGGTACCAAATTACCAATTTGTACCACCTATGTTTTAGTATATGATGCAAGGAAATAATAGTAGAAGAAGTGCTTATGTCATTTTCAACCTGCGCTCAAAATATAGATTTTATATTCATATCTTTAATCTTCATTTGCTTGGTAGTCTTATCTTGTAACCATTAGAATTTGATTTAAAAGCTTATGTTTATAATTCTGTCTAAAGTGAGAAGAAAGAAAAGACAAACATTCAAAATGGTTTATTCCAACAATGTAGCGTAGATGTAAGATAACAAGAAAAGGAAAAGCAAAAATTGTCTTTAAATTTAGAAACAGTGATTTGTTTTATGGAGTCCTAGTGTGGTGCTGTGGGTTAATGTGCTGGACTGCAAAGTCAGTTTGAACCTCAGGGTCGGCAGTTTAAGCTCTCCAGTTGTCCCTTGGAAACTATACAGGGTTACTATTGGTCAGAACCAACTCAGCAGCGCTTAACAACAACAATTTGTTTTATATCCATTTCATCTTTATTTAAAATTTTTATTACATAGTGGCTTACACACTTAATTTTTCAAAATCCTATTGTCTGTAGTAAAATGTTCTACATTTCTCACCAGAATTTCTTAACAGTTGATTCTAAAAAGACTTTTTGAGTATTCATTATCTGTAGACTATTATGCTAAATGGTAAGATGAACAACTTGGCTCTGCTGTTTAAAGGATTTGTGATCTAGTCTGAACATTCAAAAAATTGTTGACATTAATTTGTAGGAAATAACATCGAGATACATTGTCAATTTTCTCCACTTTTTAATAACACTTTAATTTTAAGTAGTCCTGCTGTGCCACTGTGGGGTAATGCACCGGACTGCAAGGTCAGTTTGAACTGCAAGGTTGGCAATTTAAATTCACCAGCTGCTCCTTGGAAACCCTATACAAGGTCTCTATGAAGGCACTAAACAACAATATAGTTTTAAGGACTTTTTGATTAGGCAACAGTAGAGAACAATAAACACAAATTGAATGCAAATAATGGATAATTAGCCAGCTCTCTCACTAGCCCCAACATTAGTTTTACAGTGTTTAGATTGAAATTCCTACTTTAGCATTGTCGTTGTTGTTAAGTGCTGTTGAGTTAGTTCTGACTCATAGCAACCCTGTATGGTGTTTCCAAGGTTGTAAAGCTTTGTAGGAGCAGAAAACCTTACCTTTCTCTCACAGAGCACCTGGTAGGCTCTAACTGCCCACTTGTATTCATGTATTCAGTAGTCAATAAAAGCTGTAATTTGGAAAAAGGCTTTTAGAGAGAAAAAATATAGATAAAAAGAAAAGTAATGGTGGTGATGAAAAGAGACAAAGTAAGGATGAAAACCAGAAAATATAGTACTATTCAAAGGACGTCCTAAGGGCAATGACTGATGACTAATAAAATCTTTAGTCCCTGCAAGCATTTGTGTTTCCTGCAGTTCATTGTGTATAAAAGTTACAGCAATGGTCTTTAAAAACACTAGTACTAAGAATTGAATTTTCTTTGATTTTTTTTCATAACTGAAACCTGTAATTTCTTCCAGGTTAATATTGTCAGTATAATGCCAAACAAAGTAAAATGAAAATCCCCCAAGTTTTTTTTTTTTTTTTTTTCATTTTATAGAGCTGCAGCCCGATGTAACAAAGGCATAGAAGTATTATTTGCAGTGGCTCTGGAACATTTTGTTTTGATTGTTGTGAGAGTTTTGAGGGGACCTACCTCAGCAGATGAAACAGCCAAGAAAATTCAGTACCTGATCCATTGTCAGTGGTGTGAAGAGAGAATTTTCCAAAAGGATGGTAATATGGTAGAAGGTAAATTCAAGTTTTTCTCAATTGTCTGGTTTTTGTACTGTATGTGTAAGCCTCTAATGAATTAGTCTTTATCATATTCCTAACTATACATATTGTTGTCCTTTGATTTTGAAGATTACAGTGCTAACTTTGTTATTTCCTATACTGGATTTCCTTTCATCAACAGACAAGACATTCGTGTGAGTTTACTAAAGTTATCTATTCATGCTGTAAAATTTATGTTCTATAACCCTGTGCTTTGCTGAAACATGTAGAAATAACTTAGTTTCTACTGTAACTAATTTTAGGAAGATAAGTCAGATGACCTCTTTGCCTAGGCTATTTCAATTCATGGATTTCATTTTATAAAAATAATTTTCATGCTTTTGGGAGAATATAAAAATCATCAATTATAAAATCCTTTCAGTAAACATTTACTGAGCCTCTACTATATGCCAGGCCTATGCAAAAAAAAAGATGTGGCTTGTTTACTAATGAAACTTTGTATTTTGCTTTCCTGGGAAATACAGTTGCTCTCTTTTTTTCTATTAGGCTTCTGGGTATATTTTAATATGAATTTTCCATAAGTGTTTAGCCCTTGTGTTATGTATTATAAATATTTTCTCTCTAGTTTGTCACTTACATATGCATTTGTTTTTGTTTTTGTTTTTTTAATTGCCATGTAAAAGTTTTGTTGTAAAGTTAATCTATCTTTTATGTATCTTGGGGTTTGTCTTAAGTTAGAAAGAGCTTTCTTATTCTAAGATACTCAAGAGTTCTCTCTTGTTTTATTAAATACATTTAAGTTTGTTTCCAGATTTTCTATTCTGTTCCAGTGGACAGTCAATATTCATACACTATATATATGATTTATACATTTCATACATTATTCATACAGTGGTCTATTCATGCAGTGGTCCCATGCTGTTTTCATTACAACATGATTTTACTGTTGTTTAATATCTAGTAAGGCAATCCCTTTGGAAATTTCTTACTTTTCAGAGTCTTCCTGAGTTTGTTTTATTTTGTTTCTTAATAAAAGAAAAAATAGTAAACCAGCTGCTGTTTTATTTTGATCACATTAAATTAGTAAGAATAGATAGAAACTGTTTTGCTTTCAAGATTTTGTCTACTGCTTCTCATATTTTTCCAAGTAGTTTTAATACAATATTGATAGAGGTAACAGAAGGCATACTTGTCTTATTCCTTATTTTGCTTTGTATGGTGCTATTTGAAGGAGTTCTGGTGCTGCCACGGGTTAAGCATTGGACTTCTAAACGAAGGCCGGCAATTTGAAAGCAGCTCCATGGGAGAAGGATTAAGCAGTCTATTTCCATAAAGATTTCCTGCCTCAGAAACCCGATAGAGCAGTTGTACTCTGTTCTATAGGGTCTCTTGGAGTTGGAATAGACTTGAAGGTTGTGGATTTGGTTTTTAATACTTTTATTATTATTATTATTATTATTATTATTATTACTGTGTACTGAATGATAGTTTACATGGAAGAATATCAGTTTTACGCTCGTTTTCGGTTTTTTAGTACTTTTTGATTTAAGCCCGATACTGGCTTTTCATCTGAGATACGTATTATTTATCATCCTAAAGAAGTATCCTTTAATTCTATGTTTATTACATTTTATCAAGATTTTGAATTTTGTCATGTACCTTTTCAGAATCTGTGGAGATGATTATGTGGTTTTTAGACCTTATAGTGCATTAATTGTAACAAAATTTCCCAATAGGTAATAAAATTTCCCATATTGAACAACAACCTTAGACTTCCTAGAACAAACTGTAATTTCCTTGACTTCTTTATGACAGTCTGTACCATCCAATCATGAGCTTTTCCAGAGTTTAAACAATACCAATGGACTTGGTGTTTTGCTGGTTGCCCCACCACCAATTTTAAACATTCTGTTTTTGTTTTAAGTGCCCTCGAGTCGTTTCTGACTAATAGTAACGCTGTATATAGTTTCCGGAATTCCTGGAGTGGCACTGTAGGATCAGCACTGGACTGTGAACAACTAGGTCAACAGTTTAAACCCACCAGCTGATCCTTGGTAACCCTACACAGGGTCACTGTGAGTCAAAACTAACTTGACAGCACTTAACAACAACAACAGCATATAGTTTCCAAGGAATGGCTGGTGGTGGGTTTCAAGTGTTGACCTTGTGGTTAGCAGTACATTGCATATCCTACAATGCCTTAGCTTTCTCGCGTCTGCTAAATCAGTTGTCCCTTGTTTATCTTATTTATTACTTCTAAAATTTTATTGAGCTTTCTCATTTGTTTGTTACCTTTTTTCCCATTTTATGTTTCCTTGGAGTTTGGTTTTCATTCCTTTTCTGTAATTTTAATGAAGCTTTAAGAAACAGCAGTGGTAAAGTTTGTGTTCAATCCATTGCATTTTTTAAAACTCTATGTTGTCAGTTGAATGAAGGTTTACAGAAGAGATCATCAGTCCCACATTCAACAAATCATACAATGATTGCAATCCCTTCCATGTACCATACAGTTAACTGTATTTACTTATTCACTGTAACTCTTGCACTCCTGTCTGTGTCTTCCACTACCTTTATCTTTCCTGTGCCAACCTCCCTCTTGTTGTATATTGCCTTCTTCATTGCCCAAGTAAACCATTTGTCTGCTCTCTACCCAGTGAATAATTTTCCCTTCCCTCCCACCCCTGGTAACCATCATATTGTTGTTGAGTGCCATCAAGTAGGTTCCAACTCATAGCAACCTTGTATAGGGTTTCCAAGAAGTGGATGATAAGTTTGAGCCACTGACCTTGTGATTCAAACCGACCTTATGGGACAGTTCATTATCCCACAGCACCTCTCTGGCAACCATCATAGGTTTCTTTTAGCGAGGAAACATTTTCTTAACTTTTTACAGCAATGGCCTCATACAGTGTTTGCACTTTGTGATTGACTAATTTCACTCAGTGTAATGACCCAAGCTATGTTATTTTCAATAACCTCATATGCATGCGAAAATTAGAGAGTGAATAAGGAAGATCTTAGAAGAATTGATGCATTTGAGTTATGGTGTTGGAGGAGAACATTGAAAGTACCATGGTCTGCCAAAAGAACAAACAGATCTGTATTGGAAAAAGTACAACCAGAGTGCTCCTTGGAGGCCAGGATGACTAGACTTCATCTCTCATACTTAGGACATATTGTCAGGAGGGACTAGTCACTGGAGAGGGATATCATGTTTGGTAAGGTTGAGGGTCAGAGAAAAAGAAGAAGACCCCCAGCCAGATGGATTGGCAAAGTGGCAGCATCAGTGGACTCAAGCGTGGCAACAATTGTGAGGTTAGCCCAGGACCAGGCAGTGACTCAGTGGCACTTAACAACAACAAAGCCCTCCATGTTCATTGACAGTATAAGGTGTTTCACAGATTTTACGTTCTTCAGTGTTGCATAGTATTCCAGTGTATGTATGTAAAGTTTGTACCCATTCTGCTGTTCTCTTGACTGGTGCATTTAATCCATTTACATTCAGTGTAATTATCCATAGGTAAAAAATGATTGGTGTCATTTTGCTGTGTTGTTTTGGTATTGTTGCTGGTTTTTGTTCTACATACATTTCTGCAGAGTTCATTTTATTTGTGGATTTTCTTTTCATTTTCTTCATTGCTGTTGTGTTTATGGTTACTGAATCTTTCTGATTTTCCTCTTTTAATTTTGATGTAAAGTTGTATTAATTTTCCTTGAGGTTACCCTGTAATTTTTTTAATGTTTTCCCATTTTTAAGTCTATTTTATCTCAAAATCTTCTTGACTTCCTTGCCATTTTGAAGTTCTGTATCTACACTATTCCCTTTTTGCTTTGTTGACTTCATTGTCTATTGATATGTCTGGTTCCCTATCTTCAGTCTTAGAAATTTGTTTTACTTTAAATATTTCTTTATCTAGATTACATTCTGGGTTGTGTTGTCATGTACGTTAATCTCAGGTTGTTGTCACTGTTGTTGGTTCTCAGTCCAGAGAACACCTTTTAGTATATTTTGTAAAGTTGATCTGGTAATTATAAACTCCTTTAATTTCTATATATCTAGAAATGTCCTAGTTTTGCCATGATGTGGCATAGTAGGATAAAGCACTGGACCACAAGGTTGTTTGAACCACAAGGTCATCAATTCAGACTCACCAGCTTCTTCTCAGAAACCCTATACAGAGTCATTATGAATCAGAATCTACTTGATGGCACTTAATAACAACATTTAAGGGATAACTTTGCTGGGGATAGAACTCTTGGCTGACGTTTTTTTTCTTTCAGAGCTTTGTATCTGTCATCCAATTTCTACTGAGAAATCGAAGTTTAGTCTTACTGTTTCTCCTTCGTAGGTAACTTCATTTTTCCCAAGCTGTTCTCAGGAAATCTTCCTTATCTTTGATTTATGAAAGTTTGTTTATGCTATGTCTTAGTGATTTATTTGGGGTTGGTTCAGCTTTTTGAATGGTTATTATTATTTTTTTTTTTTATCTTTCATGATGGTGGGGTTGTTTTCTTTCAGTAACTCTTCAATGATTTTGTTGTTTTTTTCTCATTTTTGGAAATCTGATCTCCTTAAGTTACTCCTCCTCGTGGTGTCCCAGATAAATCTCAGATTTTCTTCCAATTTTTTTTTTCTTTTTTCAGATTGTTCTTCTAGCTTACGAGTATTGAGAGATTTATCTTCAAGGTCACTAATTCAGGCTTCCATTAATTCAAATTTATTTGTTTGGGCTTGCAATGTATTGTGTGTTTCTGAGATCTTACATTACTCTCCTAGATTTCTGTTACAGGTTTTGTACTATTTCAAAATTTGCAATTATTTTGGTCTGTTTGCTCTTGTAGTGTTTTCTTGAATTCTCGTTTTTTCTGTGTTTTCTTTACTTTCTTTGCCCTTTCTGTCAACCCATTGAAGGTATCTAAATATCATTCTTTTGAATTATTTCTCAGGTAGTTCCATTACCTTTTCTTCCTCAGAAATGTTTTTCTGATTCTGCATCTTGGTCATTTGTTTGAAC